TGATACCAGAGCTATCTGTCCTACCTAACGAAGCCTCTTTTTAGCAAGTAAGGTATTTTCATTTAGATTCAAATTTTAATATAGTTAACTACATGATACATAAATTCTTAGGTCCTAGTCGTGGTTTCAAATACTAAGTAAACCTATCATACTAGTCTAAATAGCGTACTGATATATTAATACACCAACCATACCAATTGGAACAGACATAATAATCATTTTTAAAGTATTTTAATCAGCATAGAAATGTCAACTATACTAGATGGTGTGTAGTAGGTCTCAAGATTCTGGAACATATAGTGGTACTTGAAATCTTGATCCTGATTGCATCTACCACTTCAGAGTCAGGAACTCTGAGTTTCTACATGATGAAAATTATTAGACATTTTGTCTACTTTTCAATCCACAATGGAATCTAACATGATTGAATCCATATCTACATCTTCTCACAGGACACTCGAAACCTAAATTTTCCAAATGTTTCCATAGGTATTGTGCTGTAATTGAAGGACCAGAAAAAAGAAAAAAAAAACTTGATTTCAACAATATATCAATGTACAAAGAAATTAATTAGCCTAGATAGAGTAAAAGAACTTACCCCCAGTCATACAAAGAAATTGTGCGAAGATGTGTTGCATTCTCTGCCAGGTCATATAATTCCACAACACCCCTGCTACAACCAACTGCAAGGATCTGTTGATCAGAAGCTACAGAAGCACACATTGCATCATCTGTATTCAACCACCTTTCAGGTTTAATAAAGCTTGTCTGCTTTAAACCCTTTTTATTTACAGAACAAAGTGCAATTTGACAACCAGAGAACAAAACAACTAGCAACCTCAGTTGTAATGACAACTCAAGCTGCACAATGGCTGAACTTCTAGTACAGCACTGGACAGATTCTTGCACACTTGCATTTCCTAGGAAAGCAGAAGATGCATCCACTACAGAATGTGCTGGCTGGCAACAAATTTTGAAGATGCTAGGGAACTGGACGTAGTAACAAACACCAAGTATGAAAAGCTGCCCATAAACAACTACGGAAAAAAACACTTGAATGGTTGCAGAATGCTACCAAATTATCACAAGATAAAATTGGAAAGTTATTGAATATATACCTCTCCAATCCAAGAAACAAGCTGCAAATGTCCATCAGAAAGTCCAAGCAGCATGTTTTTGCTATCACACACAAAATTGCTACTGAAAAAAAGAAATTGCAAGTAACACATATAAGTCTTTTGAAAGAGCCAATCAAAGGCCTGGATAGCTCAGAAATAATTCCATACATTACTAAATTTTTCTCTCGGAAAGGCGCCTTCTCAGTGATAACTAGTGATACACTAGCAAGAAACAGACCAGGGAGTTGTTTGCCTCCAATCATAAGCCTTTTTCCAGAAAAGTGGACTTTATAAATATGAAGATATGATGCAGAAGTCTGCAGCATTACCAGTAAAAGAATTAGAAAAGTCATATAATGGTTACCTAAACCTCACGAAAAAGGAAAAAAGGATTGCACAACCACACACAATGTAGGAAATGGTACTATAAGGTTACAGTTAAGGTAATCATCCCTTTCTGATGAAAGTTAGTAAGCTACCCCAAATGTTGCATTATGATTAGAGATGCTAATCCTTATGTTTAAGGGATCCTTTTATTAATATGTATCTTTTACTCATATAATAAGATGTGGCAAAAATTCCAACATTATACCCAATTTATCATGTGGATAAATCTTATGCAGAGTCCAAGAACATGCATCTTGAATTCTTATATATAAATATCCAATAAAACAGAAAGCATGTCCCAAGAAGCCAATCAAAAAGAGGCCTAAAAGGAATTTCTTACTCAAAGCTTAGTACATTCCATGATACATATTTTTGTTTTGTCTTCCTAATATTTTGATATTACATGATGAGTCCATGATAATTTCATAAACTGTATGAAAGTTGATACCACAAATGATATCGATGTGATGCTATATACATTGTCTCTATTGATGGTTAGGCAGATCAGCATTGGTAAGATAATTTCCTTCAGAAATTAGTGAATCATCAGCTAGATCATCAGCTAAATTGTCTCCTGCTTTGTAAGTGAGATATGTCTCCACCCTGGTAGATAAGAGATGTCACTTCATCCGTTGCTGGAAGAGTTATTTATATGAGGAGTAAGACCTCTCCATCCATTGATGGGAGACCATCACATGCATCAAGACTTAATAATTATTGATTTAATGATTTATATGTAATAATGCATGACTATATAATTATGATGTGTTCTTAATACTATATTATGGCATGTAACCTAAGTTGAATATATTAACCCCTTTGTGATAACATGTGTATAATTTATTATTATGAAATCATTTTAATAAATGATATTTAATTAATGTATTCATAATTATGATCCTCCTAATTCACCTTATTTCCTACTGAACATTTGTACTCATATATTATTCTTTTTTGAACTTTTATAAAACTGACAATGAAAACTCACGTTCCAACGCTTCCAAAGACATCCTCATGTTGGCCATAGTCCATCTCGTATGTGCAAATAATGTCATGTCATAGGCACACCTATAACATGCTAATGGTAGAACGTGGAAACAGCAAATATAGAGAGAGAAACATGAAGAAGCTCATCTCCCAATCAGTTTGTGTATGGGACTCTATTAACATGACAAATGGATAAATAAAATGTCAAAACCACTAAATAGAACCATGCCAACATACTATACATACTGTATGTACCAACAGTCAGTTGACATCTTGTATACAAAGCAGCACAGACCACAACACGCATGTGATACCACAGAAGCATCTCAAGTTTCTACCATTAAGTCCCAAAGGTGTGCAACATGAAAGTAAGTCTATAAGATTTGGTTTCAAACAGAAAATCCACGTGAAAATTTTGTTCAGTGCATGATATGAAAAGCAAATTATAGGTTCAGTAATCTTCATTTTTCCAATGTGCCCTTTTATCTTTACCATGATTTGCACTATGAATTACTCCGAGTTCTCGGGAAAAGAACACCAAATGTCTAAACCTACTGGAACCAGCAGCCATTTGGTGTATCTGAGCAATTAAATCAACTGTCCACAAGTTTACACTAACAAAACACCAAGTATATTGTTTTAATAAACATACTTGTTTCCAATTTGATTTTTATGCAGTAAAGAAATTGCAATGCTAAAGCAAATTGAAAATATGTCTAGTTTATAAAATTCAGGGAAAGAGCTAATGAGCAGAAAGTATATCTCATCGTAAAAAGTGAAAAGTGCGTAAAATGGTGCAAGCGCTTAGGTAGCAAGGAGCATGATATGGTTCAGGATATGCTTAAAGCTCATGACTAACAAATGATTCTTCTATTATAACATATCAAGAAACCTAAAGTTGCAAAGGGCCCAGGAAGGCCAATGGGGAAACAAGAGGGCCTGGGACCGGGCGGCACATACTACAACAGAGTAACACAAAAGCCGGGACAGACCATGATATCCAATTTCCGCAAAATTTTCGAAAGAAAAAAATCAATAAAACCAAGAACAAGATTGCAGCAGGTTCCCACTTACAAGAACGGCGATCGACTTGGTGTCAGGGCTCCAAATGGCTTGCAGATTCTCGCCCTCTCTCTCGACCGAATCGGCATCCCTCACGTACTTGCCCAATCTCACCTTATGCTGCCGGATCAAGCCAATCGATCAACCAAAACGCAAAGATCAGCAATCGGGGAAGCAAAAAGCGGACGAGGAGAGGGGGGGGGGGGGGGCGTGCGGGGGTAGCGAACCTGGGAGGAGCTCCAGAGCTCGAGGTGGGTGGGGGAGACGACGAGGAGATGGCGGTTGATGACCTTGAGGTAGACGATCCGATCGAAAGAGGGGGAGGAGGAGGTGGCGGCATCAGCGGTGCTCTCCAAGGGGATGACCTGGGGCCATCCATATGCCATGTACATCTTCGTCTCCGGCTCGAGGCGAAGACGACGACGGAGAGGAAGAGGGACGGGGGTTGGCAGATCAGATCTGAGAGATCTCGGGTCGGAGGGGAATTGAATGGCAAGTTTCAGTGCGATAGAACGTAGCTATTAACGGTGGATAAAGAAGGCGTCGGTAGATCCTACGGCTACCATGCAAGAAAGCACCGCAAAACCATTAAAATTATCTTTTCCTTTTTTCTTGATATATTAAAAAGAAAACTCAGATTTGTGTTTTCTCTATTTCTCCCCATACAAAAATATGTTGTCTGCCATTTTTAAGCCTGTCGCCAAATTATTCTTGCCATGATGACATTCGATTAGTATAAGAATATTACTAATTTATAAAGTCAAATACATCATCTTCCATGCATCCAAGAATTGTAAAAACTTTAAAAATAATAATTTTCTTCTTTGTTAAAATTTAATTCCCTTCATCCTTTTTTTTTTCTTTTTTTCCTCCTTCCTCCTCCCTCCTCCATCTCTTATTCCTCATCTTCCTCAAAGAAAAGTGAGTTCCTCCTCCATCTCTTATTCTTCATTCTCCTCAAAGAAAAGTCGCAAAGAAAAATCGATAAAATGAAGGTCGCAATGAACATTTAGAGCATTAGAGCATTAGAGAAAAATGGAGGTCGCAATAAAAAGCTCCTCCTCCATCTCTTATTCTTCATCTTCCTCAAAGAAAAGTCGATAAAACGAAGGTCGCAATGAACATTTAGAGCATTAGAGAAAAAAACACTAAATTAAAACTTTTTTATGAAAATAATCCTTTTTTTCTCTTTATTTTTCAACATAAAGTTACAAAAATTAGAGATTTTTTTCCCTCTTGTATCATCATGCACTTTGTATACTGGGTTAATGCTTTATATTCAATCATCTAATAAACTTATTCAGCTCACATAAAGTGGAATTTTGTTTTCAGTTTAGTTTTGAAGACACAACAAATAAACTAAACAAATTATATCGGTGTGATTAATAATTTTCATGTAGTATGTTTATGATTATAAACACACAGACTTGCAAGATTGGCACAGCATCCTGCAAAATAGTATCATGATTCATCTACTGTTGGTACAAATGCTGGGTTTGTTACTGGACATTGATCATGCTTGAAATAAAATCATACTCACATATCAGTCAGAAATTATCTGGACAAAAAACACAACTTTTCAGTTGATGGCTGATGCAACGAAACTTCACAAGCAAGTCATCACAGGTTCTATAGGCCCGCAGTCATGTGGAAAATAAAAGTGATGCATCTTTATTTCAGCCAAACTTTTTTACTTTCCCGATATGGGAAACAGAAGTTCTTGCAAGTTTCTGTGACAGAAGTCACTTCTCAGGCTCAGGATTTTGAAAAAGTTGCTTCTTCAACCAATCGAAAGGCTGCAGAGATAGATTTAGAATTACAATCTAATAATTTTTTTCATAAAGAGGACGATAATGATAGCAAGAAATATATTTATAGGTGATGTAGGACAACAAAAATAACATTCAAAAACACCAAAAAAGAGTAAAAATAGTCGAAGGTGATAAAGACTGCAATGCTCACATGGTTATTCATGTATTGTTCTTCCTCGAGTCTTACTTCAAACTATTATGTTCTGTTAGTAAGGTCGTAGTAGTAGCCTAGTAGGTATGTCTATGGTTGTAATTTGGATGAATCATGCTCGACGTAAATGGTTCCATGTACAATCATTATCAATCTAGATAGAAAAGAATAAGACATTGGTGTGCTTAAATACATATATAACCTAGTTGGAAACCAATGTAACAAATCATCACATATACAATCATAGTACTACAAATGCATGCATTGGTGGTGTCGTGAGCACCTCTCTGAATCAACTTCTTTTATTGCGAGCACAGATTCTCGAGAAATATGCATTGAATGATGGAATTGGTCACAACTTTTAAGCTGTTTATGTGTGCTACATGCAGCTTCAAGTGCCAAAGGTAGGCAAGGTCGAAAGATGCATTCTGGTAACATAATTTTTTCTTAAAAACTTTGCCAAATGCAATTTTTCTGTGGGATGCCAAATCGTACTAATTTTATCAATCAAATTTTTCAGGAAATCATGATCCTATATCTTTAGGAAGGCCAAAAGGCCCAAAACAATTCATCACACTTTTGGACAAGGATCCCACAGGTCTTAATTTTATCGGTGATCCTTAAATGCTAATATCCAACTTGATTATATTTCTTGATCTTAGCCAAAAGGCCAAGAAAGGTATTAAGTGCATATTGATTAATCAAAAAGCCATTGGGAATAAGATCGTTGCCTGGTAGTTGCTCAAGCAAAGCAACCACCTGTTTTCATAGTTACTCATCAAAAAACAATCTTAAGAATTACTACTACTCATAGATGCACCGCTTGTACATGAAATTGGTATATGTTTAATAAGTTACTCTCGCAGAAGAAATGGTCAAAGAAAAATTGAAAAAGTTTCATAAATCTGCAATCTTATCCATCTTAAGTTTTAGAAATAGCTGTATATTTACAGAAGTTCCTAAATCTTACTGTTAATTTTCATTATTGATAGAATCAATCTTTCTAATAAGTTGCTACTCTTACAGAGACAGGAACATCTAAGGGAACGTAAAGAAGCAGGAGAATAACAGTTCTCTCATTAAGCAGCTACAAATATATCCTACGCATTGTTCATGTCCCATCAGACTAGGAGGTAATATTGACCTTAAATTGGTTGGAATGGTTATAAAAGATATATTAGTGGAAGGCTACAAGAAGTGCATAAAGAACAGTATCAGGTTGCATGGAATTTGCAAAAAGCGACTAAGTAAACCAAGACACTAGACTCTATTTTTCTAGGAATTTGTTTTCTCTCAATTAGTTCCTTCAAAGGCCTTAGTCCTCTATAAATGTTAAAAATAAACCTAACGAAGATGGTTAATTTTAACAGCTTGGTATTACAGTAAGGCACTATGAGCAATCATATGAGCTTCTATGATCTGATCATGGTCGAGGAGACATTCATCGGTGCCACCCACATCTGAGAATAAGCTTTCAGGCCAAAAGTATCAACGGCTTTGTTATCCAAAGCTATTCCCAAATATGAAAGAACTTGAATAGGAAAGAAGCAACATGCCAGTCATGTGCATGCTACTCATCAAGCCATTTATAAGAGCATCACTACCAAGGCCCCAATAAAGTGTCCCTCCTTAAGCCACAATAAAACACCATAATTGACAAATCTACTGCTGCATGAGGGAAAGAAATCACGGAAGCACCTTTGATCAAGCAGTAACTGCAATGTGTGAAGATCATAACAACCCAGCCAACCAGTAGTCGGCCTAACTCACCAGTTGTGTTGTCAAACTGGTGCATCAAATTTGCTTGTGGTGGTCTTGCTCATGGGCGGAATGATACCTCGAGCACTAATTCAACCAATCAAATTATGTTTCCAATTGTCCGCAACAATAAATGACACCACAAGCTTCATACGGTTAAACCAAGATCCATTCGTGCATGCGACCATGCCTAACACCTTTACATGGCACTCCCTACAATGGCACTATGCCTCAAGCAGATCAGGCAATTTCCCTATATCGGTATACCTACTGCTGAACTTACAACAATAATACAAGTGACTGTAGTTCAGCCTTTACAGAGAGCGATGGCAACAACTACAACTTCCTATTGCAGGAGGAAGACATGGTATGCTCAACAACAAGAACAACAACAATACCAGGACCGGAGTCACCTTTTCCTCCACTAAACCATTATTTTCAGCCATCTAGGAAGCCTGATGAGCCCTACAATAACCAATTGGGCTCACTTGAGCAAGTAAAATAGATTTTCCCATATTTAACAAGGCTTTTTCAAATCAGTTAAGTCTTCATAATTATCAGCTGCTTGACTACAGCTAAGGAATTGTAGATTTCACATGCTGCATACTATATGGTTTAATGCTACGTCTCACTGGTGCAAGTGGTACTTGTCACAAGATGACACACCCACTTGGAAAGAATATTTTGAAGCGTTGACGACCATCAGTAACATGATTACGATTTTTTTTTTCTAACAACTAAAATTTCGAAGCAAAAACTTCACCAAAATATAATTGCATCGAATAGCGACAACGATGCGTAAACGAAGATCTGAAAAACAGATACAAAAGAAGAAATCTCTACGATTGATTGTGGTGCCCAGTCGAGACGCACGACGTCAATAATCTTCGCTCTCAAACATGAGATGTTAAGATCGTAACGACACAAAGGGAAAAGGGATAATTACTCGAGCCAGCAAAGAAAGCATCGATCTACTAATAGGATTAACAGAGGGGACGGGGACGGGGATCATCTCTGTTATACCTGGATGAGCCAGACGGCGGTGGCGGTAGCGGCGACGCCCCAAGTGGCGGCCGCGGCGACGTCCGTCGGCTGAGGGCGGAGGCGCGGCCGAAGGAACTTGAACATGCCCGATCCCGTCGCCATCTCCGCCCAGACCCAAATCTAATCGGTGGATCAGAAGAGGGAGACAGTAAATGCTTCCGATGTAGGGTTTCCTTCCGATATGGACTTCGATGTTACGATGATCGAAGACTCGCTTTCCCACTAAAGGACAATTCGATACGGTCACGAGGCGTGACCTTAAGAGACCTTTCACCGCTTTAACTTAGCATGCCAAGTAAAAGATTTTTTTTTTCCTTTTTTCCCCTCATCTAAAAAAATATTTCTTTTAACCTTCTTATATTGATTAATAGCTCATATTCTACATTTTTGCTCATCTTTTGAAGAGAAAAAAAAGGGGAAAAGGGATATTTTTAATTCAAAAAAAGTCATTTGTTGGATGCAATAATAGATTATTTTAATTATTATAACACAACGGTCTTTCACTTTTTTTTTGTTTCGGTCAGTATAAGTTAAGAAGGAAAATGGATGAATTATGTCATACCAAAATATCTAGAATTCCATATTATACACAAAATTAATTTTAAATATTTTCAAGATCTTATTTATGGAGGAAATGAAACTGTTAAAACCATCAACTCATTTTTAAGAATAAAGTTTAATATGACATGTTAACTTATTTTTTTAACCTCCAAAGCAATTTCTTATAGATAACCATTTCACATAACTTTTATCTCAAACTTTTTCTATTAATAAAAGAACCTTGAAAAAACAAAATGAGAAATACAATCAACAATTGATAAAGGAGTTTATATAGATAATCCAATCACAACATGCCCATCAGACACTTTGTCAATCCAACACATACCCCCACATAATGCCCAATGATTCTGCATAATTACTCTGGTGGAATAATTCCCAACTTAATTCTGATGATTGTTGAATTACATCTGAATCTTATATTTTACTAATCATGTGATACAATTAGTTTGTCCATCGTTCATTTTGACAATTGACCTTAAAAAAATTAAAATCAGAGAAACTCTAATACCATAAAGTAACTCAAAACTTTGGGCCATATTACACAGCAATAAAGCAATGGCTTGCTGTACTGTCATTGTGGAAAGATCTATAGACCAATTCAAGTAAATCAGAAAATATTTTGTAAGAAACAATAAAAACGGATTCCATGTCTATGATATTTCCTACTAGAAAATCATGGTCAGAAAAGATATATAAGTATGTTGATTGTGCAAGATGAATCAACTAAACCAAATGGTGTAATGAGAAAGTTACACACAATTACACAGCAAACATAAACAATAACATTGCATTTCAATTGATTATGGTGCATCTACATGGAATCCAGTTTGGTTACTCCCACCACAAATGCAAGTGAAATATGCACATGAGCTTTAGAAGTATGATGCAATAGCTTTGAAGAGTGAAAATACCAAAGAAGGCCAATGCTACATACACCTAGACAAACTGCTTTATGTTTGCAATATTCAGAACTACTTAATTCTCGCTATCACTGTCACCGAGAATAGAACTTTACCATTCGAATGTTTCACCTGCAGATGAGTTCATACATCCGTTCCAACAAAGTTTAGCAGAGACCCACGCCTTTCATGAGCTATGGTTCCTCGTTTCCGTAACATGTAGTAAAAGATTAAAGCCTGCAATGAAGTCACAGGATTTTGTCTTGACATAAATTCTCGACTGAAAATGAATATAAGATATGAAGAACATCAATTGGTGTTTGTTTACCAAATAGACCTAACAACAACTTCAAATATACTTGTATCTTTATGCACATTCAGTACTTGTTTACACGATCTTCATATATACATGGTGCCTGGTCGATATTAAATATAAGCAAAGAAATAATCTTACTGGAACCTTGCAAAAGTTCACAACATGAATATAAAGTTAAGATGGATAGTTGAACATCATAGTAAGATACAAGATATGCACACGTCTAAAATCCATAAGAAAATGCCCAAGGAAAATGATTTGCAGGATATGAATGACGACAAGGTCAATCATTGGGTTCAATCGGCAGACTTGGATGATACGTTCTGTCTTGCTTGCCAAACAGTTGAATATGCTGATATTGCAGTGCTCGTGATGCTCACTGATTGCCTGGTGAGGTCCACGCTTTTCTTAACAGCAAGCCAAACAATCCAGATGAATCCGATCCATCCTACAGCACAATGTTGTGACAATATTTGCAGGTCAAATTACAGAGACTGGCAAAACAAAAAAGGGAAAAAAATGCAATCTCCCAATTGAAAAACCATAATAAAACAATTTTAGATTCTACGTTATGTAATCAGATGGTCTCAACAGCCAAACTAGCTTTTGGAGCCTTCCTTCTTTGATTTTTGTTTTTTCCTTGGGACCTTTTTTCAAATAAAAATTAGCTACGTGCTCCAACAGTTGTACAATATCAATAAGCATTATGTACAAAATACTTGCTACAATAAGCAAAACTAATATCATATAGAACTGTCGTATCACCATTTCAGATGCTTAAAAATTTTGTTTTCAGCTTTTTTTATAACATACCTAATTGACAAAGGATTTTTTGGGAATAACAATGTCAAGATAGCAACAATCCCTTGTTCATTCTATAAACAATAATATAAGCTATAAGAAAAGCCAAAGACATCCTGCCTTCTTACTATCAAGTTAAGAACTATCTCTAAGAAAAATTAACAGCAAACAAATTATAATATGAGTAAGGTATACTTGAGTTAGTGCTAAGCCCCTGAAGAGAAAAGAAACTCATTATGGACCCTTTTTTTATTATTTGGATTTTGGACAAGGAACTTACTCCTAGAAAGTCATCAGCTGAAAAAAAAGCACATGATACAGATTTGAGCCAAATGACAAAACTCCATTTTTAACGATGGAACCTCTTCTAGAAGGTGGGGAGCAACCACTAGATCATAAGTGCAGAATTTTTTTTTTTTGAGGCAACAGTCTGAGCATTCATAATGAGCAACTCACATGGAGCAACTATGTTTGCACCATCTGGGCTGTACAGCAGGGACTTGAATACCCAGAACTTTAACAAAAATAAGATAATAAATAAGTACATTTTGGTCATCTAATGGAGGGACTTGTGACGTTATAGAATACACTCCAAGTTTGAACTCCTGAATGATCATTCAGAAAGCAATGACCACGTGAGTCTTGTGAAGCAAGAAACTTGGTGAAGATTCCCCTGATTATGCCTTTGATGTGGTAAGGAAGTTGTTTAAGGAACTTATTTGATGAAAGTAACAGATCCTTAGGAGAACAAGGTCTTTATTAGCAGGGCTACATTCTATTTCATCGAGCAAAAGCAATGAAAAGACTACACAGGAGTTTTTGCTGCTCAAGTACGGCATTTTATGTCTGTTTGTTGTTCAGCTCAGACAACATCAATTTCCCGAGGATAAAAGGTAGATTTTTCTTGCATTATATAGCCCCCGGAAATTAAGAGACACTAGATGAGAATAAAATGAAAATTGTTACATACCAGAAGCTATCAAGACGACAACTATTGCTGAGATGGTTGTAGTTGAAATCACAAAAGTTGCAAATAGTAATGCTCCAATATAAACTGCAGTTAAGCACGTAAGGAAGACAACTAAAAAGCCTCCAGCAGCTGCAGATGATACTAGAAAGGAGATAATGATAGCATTTAATGTGGCCGCGAACAAGAAAAACATGCAAATCATCAGCCCTGTCAATGCCAGAAGAGTGATTGTTCCAACCTGTCATGCAGCAAAGACAACTGTAAGTTGTTCTCAATTTGAATGGAAGTGACAAACCTAGGGTTTCTACTTAAAACTATCAACATATTACTACTTGAACTAGCATAAACTCAGACACTCCACACATCCTGTGGTGTGTACAAGTGACTAAGCAGCAACAGGAGACAAAAAGGAAGTAACCAGTGCAGTGTGTATAAGTGACTAGGTTCCCATCAATGTGGAGTCTGGGGGAGGATTAATATATGCAGCCTTCCCTCCAAATATAAAGAGACTGTTTATGTAGCAAAAGTAGTCAAATGACAAAATTTTAAAATGAACTTTTGATTGTAAATACTGGCACTGAAAAGAAACTCCAATAGCTTTCGTGTCAAGCTTGCACCAAAGAACTAAAGTTTGATGATTGGCTTTGAGCAGATAATATGATGCAGGATGCTGCAGTTTCATTTGCCAGATGTGTAACTGAAGCAATATGCTGCAGACAGAATCTTAGTTCCTCATAAGGTGCAAACATTGTATACGTTAGCATAAGAAGATACAATAACTTGAAAGCATTGCAAACAGAAAGTGCAACTTGCATTATCAAATATGAGCATGGTTTTCGGCCTGAGGCTTCCATAGACAATAACACATAGTTTCAACTCAAAATGTGTAATAGAAACTTTCAATTTGCAAGAAAATTTAGTCATTAACCTGAACTTCAACTATCAATTTGTTATTTGGTGTCTCCCAGTATACAATTTGCATAGATTTTCAACTTATAAGTTTTTTATCTGACTTCTCATTCTTCCTTACAGCAGGTGTAGAGAACCTCCTATTCTAGTGCCACAAACTTGTTCCACTTCCTCGTCTGACTAAGCTTCAACCCCTTCATGCCCGTACAACCCCACAGAGAAGCACCCACATGAAAATTATTCCCATTGATGGGGCTTCCAACCCTACCTCACTGTTTTTAGCTACATCATAATGTATGTGTTAATCACGATAGAACCACACTTACTATACTCGGTTTCTTTCACCCTTAGGTGGCTGCCAATGCCTCACACCAAACGACCAAATTGCCCAAGATCCTTGAAGTCTACACTTTAGTTTCTCGACACCGTATTCTACTATTCAGATTCAAGAAAATTTTCCTTGTCAGCGCTTTTTGATTTATATAGACTCCAGCACCACCCCCCATTACTAGGACCAAGTGCACATAAGACTGGATACAGTGAAATGTTGAAAATCTGACTAAAACCACTGCCCTTACTTCATCCTAGAGACCTTGTATCTACCTCTCTTCCATGTATATGAATGCCTCCCTTCAAAACACCAAATAGTCTAAGGTTCCCAACATACATAACATTGCTTTTGACACTATATCCTACAAGTCACATCAATCCCTTAATTTGTTTACAGATGGCCAGGGACAAATTAACTCCTTTTCAGTAAGAGAATAATGGCTACCTGATGCAAGTCCTAAATATAACTTGACAAAGTGAAAATGGATCAATTTACTGTTTCTTCTACATAACATGCCCACTTCACTATTTAGACACCCAAATCAGATAACGAGAGATTCATTCACTATGTTTCTTTTTCCAACTGTCACATATACTAATAGTTAATCTCCTAAAATGAAATCTTACAATGAATTCCTAATATGTCACGAGATTTACTTATTGTATTTTTACTTCTAAGAACTACAGGAACTTGAATATTTGTATCAGCCTAAGTTTCTGAAATGAACCACTTTCTTTGGATCAGAAAACATAACCTAGGATGAAAGCAAGGTATATGACTCACTATGCTTACCTGTCATGGGTTACTAAGGACATGTTGATATCTTTATATCTTGAAATTACTAGGCCAACAACCATTCTCCATGGCTAAATTTCTTCACAGCCCATCCTACAAATAGCTCCAAACTATTGGATATCCCTTGCCTACAACTGCAAGGTAGAAACCTTTGCAACATCTGCAGTCTGTTCCTGGCAACAACTGGAGCATCTCCAATGTGATAGTACAGAATTCAGTCTATATATCAAAAAAAGAAGTTAAACTGAAATTTAAAAAAGAAAAGGGCTACTTTGCAGGCATTCCAGAAGCAAAATCTTTAAAACTTACATTTACTGCAAGGATTTTTCTTTTTTTTTTTCCTAGTTTTAAGAAAAAGAAGAGGTGAGAAAATCAACTAACGAACTTTTCCCTCGAAAAAAATCGGAATTTTGAACTAGGGCAAGGTAAACACTCCCTATGCTTTCATTTGACATAATATAAACTGCGACAAGCAGTGGATTACAGGCTTAAATTGCATAAAATTGTATTAACCTAAGCAGTATTATCTTTGACAAAATAAAAATAAGGATAACAAATGCAGTTACCCTCGACTCGAATCCCTTTTCGGAGATCTGGCACCTTAAGACAACCTTAACTGACTCAATTAAGTCCGTAATCCTCCCACGTCGTTCCTGGGTTCGAAAAGTCTGAGTAGTTCTATATACTTCTCATCAAAGATCTTAGCTTTCTGAATCAACATACCAAACATCGACTCAAAATCTTACAATTACAAGAGGGGTTGAAAACGGACCACCAAAGAATATTCGATTCAATTAGCTTGAAGATTTTATAAGCGATCATCACTGCACGAAGAAGGCAATCCACGCACCGCGATGACAAACAGAGCACGAGGAGAGCCACCGCGGCGGGTCCACAAGAGGAGGTCCCGGGCGGAGTTCCTGGAAGCTTCTCGGAGGCAGGGGGAGGCCTTGTAATAGGAAAACTTGAGCCGCCGAAGGAATGCGGCAGGAGGCGACTCCTCGGGCGGTGGCAAGACGACGCCGGCGAGGAAGTCGCAGATGACGGAGTAGAGCGTAAGTTCGCCCTCAGAGGCGGAGGGGCCAACCTCGATCTCGATCGGACGGGGGAGACCACCGTCCGCGCCCACTCCGCCGTTGGTTCTCGTCGTCTCCCCGTCGGAGTCCACCATCTCGCACTGAGAGAGAGAGAGAAAGAAGGGGTTGGGGGTGGGGTTGCGTTTAAAACGTGTCAACGCTGGCGCGTCTACATATGCCCAATAGAAATGACTCCTCAAACAGAGCACATCAATTAAACGACGGACCCACTGATAAGACCCTGCAACTTCGTTGGCTGACATGGCAGGTAACTAAGTGGGTACGAAAAATCTCGAGTCGAAAAGGGTTGTTCTTGATCTTTCTCAACTCTCCTAATGATTGATAAGACTAGTATAGTTAAAACAGGACTATTTCTAGGGAAAGTTTTTTCGCGTAGCGTCCTCGTTTCTAAAATGATCAAAAAGTGTTTGGACGAATTTTCGAAAAAAAAATCGTTACTTTTCAAAATTTTTCGTAAAGTATTTTTCTTTAAAAAACTTTTAAAATTATATTATTTTTAATAATTATTTTACCCTCGCTCTTGGACCAGTCGATCGCCCACCTTCACCTTTAACTGTCATTTGCAATTCTCGTCATTGACCGTAAGGGAGGAAAGAAGGAGGGATATCATCGATCATGAGCAAAGATAAAAAGGGAGTGATAGTATATCTTTATCCACCATTGACAAAAGGTGGGGTTGTGGCTTTCACTGTCACCCACAAAGCCTCCCTCGTGTCATCGACCACAAGCGAGAAAGAAGAGGGTGTGACTCACCCTTATCGTCGACAGCAAGAGATGAAGGAGAATGCATACACTTTTATCGTCACTGTCTTGTGCAAGGGTCACGAGCAAGGTGTGTAGCAACCGGGCCGATGGGGTCAAGGAAGGTAAATCCAATGAAAGAAGAGGCAAAATGATCTTTTTACATTGCCAAGAGCGTTGTTTCAAAAATTTTCAAATTAAAAGTGCAATACAATAAATATAAAAAAGTATGAGATTTTTTGGAAAATTTGACCTAGGAGTCTTTACTTTTTCAAGAGTAAATTCTTGAAAAAAAAACTCCCAAAGTTTCATAATTTTTCAAATAGCATCATAAGTTTCAAAAATTCCTTTAGAGCACCATTTTTTTTTCTTTCAAAATGATTATCCTATCCCCTATTACCCTCACCCAGCACCTACCTATGCTGTCATCTCGTCTATCACCACTCTATGTCAAACCCACCTAGTGATGGAGGCACAATGGGCCTTGTCGCACCCCGTTGGACCCGCAATGAAGCAGCTCTTGTCACCCTCACGTGAGCAAGGGCATAGGCGACACTACATGGCACCTCTGCAACTAGAGGTGGTCCTCGACACCCTTGAGTAAGGGTGTAAGCAATAGTGGCGACCCTTATAAACCTTACGGAAGCATGGGTCTAACCACATTGTGTGGCTCATTTGCAATCAACAACAATGGTGAGGGTTGAGAGTTTAGCAGGGTTTGATTGGGGTCGCACAACCTCTTTGGCATCAATCGCACTTAAGAAAAGGAGAGGTGAGGGAGGCGAGGGGGGAGGGGGGGGCGATGTGGTTTGGGAGAGCATGATTTGCCCTCGCAATGATGACAGTGAGGATAGAGGGATGGATGAGGGCCAATGGGCGAGGTGGAGGGGAGTCGTTGGTGGGGTAAGGCTGGCACCAGCGAAGGCACAACTAGGGATGAGGCAAAAATTTTTCAAAACGACAATAGTAAAATCATCTTGTTATGCACTTAGAGGTACTTTGTAAGAAATTTGGGTACTTTGCAAAAAATTTTCAAACTTAGGATGCTATACGAGAAATTCTAAAATATATTTATAATATTTTTAAATGGATATATAATATTTTTTTTTATTAAATTAGAATCATCATAATCCTATTAAAAATATTATAATTCAATATTAATTAAGTTTAATTCTCATAAATATTCATTTTTAACCTTATTATATTTATTAAGGTTTCATAAAATAATTTAAGGTTTCAAAATATATTCTTGATGATTAGGGAACAAAACATGAAAAAAAACTTACTTTTATATAAACCTATAGAAAATTACTTTAATGAGGAATAATGACTCAAAATACAATACAAATGAATTTATCACTTTTAATGAGATTTCAAATCGGTATTTTTTTATTTAAAATCAAAATAAAAAATTAAATTTTATTGTAGGATTTTTAAATAGGATTATAATATTTTTAAATCCTTCAATAAAAAACACTATAAACCTATATAAAAATACTATTACTAGACCGATTCAGCTTATAGATTAGTCCAATGCAAAGGACAAGATTCCTATCAAGAAAATTTTGAAACTAAGAGAAAAGAGGGATACTATTTGAGAAAACTAAAAAGAATGATTAGAGAAAACCTAAAATGAAATATCTCTCTATAATCTTATTTTCTGTTAAAAAATTACTATTGACAACTCCTTTTTATTATTTATAATTTTTATTTTAAATATTTATAATAATTCTAAAATATTTCTCTATAAATAGAGATAAATACTCTTATCATTTCCCCCTTTTCCCCCATATTCGCCTTCGTCATGCATCAAAGGTGAATACATACCTCAATCAAAGCATCATAGAGAGAAAGAACGACATCATCACATGTCAAACTACCTTATCAAACAATCAACGTGGTAAATATATACCTCAAATCAAATATAGTGAAACTACTATCGCACATAACGACTCATCTTCCCCTTTAAAATTACTGGGTTTTGGCAACCAACTTCAATTTTGATACTGATCTTGCAGCTCACGAACCAAACGTGTAAAGGCGCTTCCATGCCGATTCTGAAATTAGAGAACATGAATCAAACATGTCAATCGATTTGGCTTTCCAACTCCAACAGATTTCAGTTTCCAATTCGATTATGATCCCATTGATAGGCCAAACGTTCCCTACAATTACACTCAGCATTTGCCATGGTTCAATTTTCGGATTATGAGATCAGATCCAAGCACTGGTGAGACACCTCACCATTAAACTGTAATTGTCCACTAAACTGTTCTAGATATTATCACAAGGTACAACTTACTGACCAACCACAAAAGCCATATATATAGTGACTTACCAGACAACTATGTCTGTCCTTCATTATCTGATTTTGAAAATGATGCTATGGAAGTTTGACCGTAGGAACTCTCCCAGTTTCTCCCATCAAAGTGCCTAATTTCAACATGAGCAAGAGTACCAGCGTCGACACACTTAACCGTCACTGCAACACCATCAGGATTTGATCTTGGGAAGTAGAAAGAAGTTATACCACATATCTTGCAGAAGGTATGCTTGGCAGTATGGGTTCCGAAAGTATATGTTGTTAGGAACTTATCAGAATCAGCTGCGAGCTTGAATTTGGATGATGGCACAATGAAGTGGATATTGCCTCTCATGGAACAGTCAGAGCAGTTGCAACTCCATGCTACCACACTTGATGGTGCTTCAACTTGCCACCTCACATGCTTACAGTGGCAACCACCAAGGTGAACGACGGAATCTCCATCCATGAAATTGTATTCTACCTAGTAATCGATAAAAAGATTATCAAACAGAATTTGGGTATTACAACACAGTTTATCTTAATAACATTGAAAGTTAAACAACAGTCGAAAGGAGGTACAAACTTCAAAAGAAGACTCCCCATGGAGTAATTTTTTTTTCCCAGTAACTCATGACCTTTAGTGATGACTACAAATCAATATAGCAAAAAAGAATGCTAGTTGATGTATATCAAAATCAGCAAGTAATAATGCGTCTTAAATGCTAGATCCTAAACTGGAAACAGAGTCGTGTCCATATAAATATCATGACAGGTTCCTCTGTGAATTCCTGAATAAGGACCCATAGCTCCTCTATGATCTGCCAAGTTCTATACCAATCTTTATTGTATACAGTGTGACATACACATTATATCTGAATCTTTCTTTTATCGAAAGATTATTAAATTTACAACGATCGACTAAAGTGCCAAATACTTCAGCTTCTTCAAGCGAAGGCAACTTAACCACAAGGAAAAACCCAGCCAAAGACCAACCAAATTGAAGCACAATTTTAGCACTGACATCTCAAAAGTGTCAAGATTGAAGCAACAAAACAGTAAGAATTCCATAACAACACTTGTGATGAGTCTTGTTACGAGTTAAATCCCATTCCTGTATGACGTTATGCAGTAAAATCATGACTCTAAGTGGTCAAAATTCAATGACACTACATAATTGGGCCATGAGGCTTCTGATTAATTCGGTTACTGAAAGCCTCTGTCCGTTTGAAGCCTTATGTCCAGGATGATAATATGTAGGATTACGAATCTAACATGCCTTTTCATTATTATGCATGAGATAGAACTATTTTATCGAGTGCCAAATGCTAACATAAATCAGAAAAGAGTCAAGGATATCATATACCCTTTTAACTATACTATTCCTGATCTTACAATTAGCTAGCTAAGTTCCTAGAGAATGCAACAATTTACTTGAGATAAATGGAATATACACTTTGGAAAAAGATGACACCTAAATTTAATCAATGTTCTAACAAGACTCCAATATTTCTGTTTTAGACACTGTCTATCATAACCAGACACAGAGTAGTTCACTGTTCTCACACCCCATGAAATTAATGCTTTAAAACTAATTAATCCTCTCAAGGAGTTTACTAAAAGCTTTAGCAGATTTTCCCCAACAACAACTGTGAAAGTAAAGACAGCATGAAAAGAAAATAGTTTATGTCTGGGCAATATAGCATCGAAATTGGATTAGCAGAATCTCATAAAAATTTCAGTTTTGATAATATCATAACATGAAAATATATAGAAAGCCTCATCATGTCTACCTGTTTTAGCCCATAACTCAAGTAAAAACTCAACAAGAACGTACTTACTCGAGCCGGTGATGGATAAGCAACTGGGACTCGGCCGGGGAACCTGCTGTCGAGGTACTTTGTAGGACGGGTCGGCACCCGGCGAGGACCAATCCAGGCTGCGGTGGTGTCAATGGGAGAAGCGTCGGAGGACGAAACGGTGACGACTAGACAAGCGGCGCTCGTGAAGGGGAGGGCCGGTGGCGACTAGGGCTCCGCGGCCTTAAGAGCTTCGTGGCTCGTTTGAGCTCATCCGATCAGAGCCCAAACGGTTTGCGGCTCGGCCCATTATGAATGCACTATAATTCTATTTAAAAAACATTTTAACTATACTTCGATTACTCTAAATCGATATCAACTTTAATTATTAATTTTATCCTAAATTTAGAGGTTTCATAAAATGATTTATTTGAGAGTTTGTACGAAATCAATATTATTCGATATATTTTCAATTAATCTTAATTTAGGTCTATATCTTTTTTTTTAAGTATTATATTCATTTTCGTTTATGATACAAATAGTAATAATAAAGACTAGAAAAAACATTATAATTTTATTTAAGAACACTGTAATCAAGTCTTAATGAGTTTGAAGCCCTACACATTTTAACTAACCATATTATAGACCAATTGCATGTGCAGTTAAATGGTAGTTTGTAGGGACAATTACATGAATGACCAAACTTAGCAGGGATATATATGGAATTTTGCTTCAATAGAATCATTAACTTCACACGCTTGCCCTTTGCGGACGCGAGAAACCCTAAGGGTTCCAACGAGCGATCAAAATTTGCCATCCGCTTCATCCCCCACCAAAAAACGCTTGAAATCATCTGAAGAACCTCCAATCCTTCCAAATTCTCCCATGTCCACTTGAATCCGTCGGAGTTTCTATCACCAGAAAGTCTAGTAGAAAGCTGGGAGCGTTAGCCCTCTCCGATACTTTACCCTAGACTCTCATCAGCTTCTTCCCGCTGAGGCCGCTCAAGTTTCTCCCCTTTCTCTTGTGTGCGGGGCCTTCTTTCTTTGAGCTAGCTGAGGAGGAATCTGTGGTGATCTCGAGGTATTTCTTTTGTCTTTCTTGTGGTTTTCCCCTTAGATTACTTATTTGATCTTTCATCTGGATTTTGCTTTTAATTGTTTGATCGTTTGTGACTGCTGCTGAAAGATCGTTGATTCGAGCCATTTGCTTCAGACTAATTCGATGCTTGTATAATGTGATTATGAGCCCTGTGTATGTTTTCCTGTAGAATGAACTTTTATATACCAGTGCATGTGACGGTTAAAAGTGCATTTTAGAGATCTAGGTGATGGTTAATAGTTCTGATATGTGTGTTGGAGGCGTCCAATCTTAAATTCTGTTGCCGGCCTGCCCCTTCCTCATTAGGGGCCTCTAACTGGTGGCGGCGGGGACTTCTGTTGCCAGTAGCTGCTTCTATTTTGTTGTCCTCATATTTGGAAGATGCATTGGACATGTACCCACACATATCTGATGCATACCAGTGTCTAATGCGTGGCTCCCAAGATGCCATGTTTGTGCGATAGAGGATCTTAGTGATCTGGATTTCTCATGGCTGTCATAATTTGCATCTCAAGCACAAAGATTATTACCAAAGTGTCTCATGTATGCATGATGTCCAAATTTCCAGTATGTGTTGTTGATCAAGCACCAGGTTAGTTAATTAAATATTCACTCTCTTCTGCTAAAAGCTGTCAAGTCACCATGATGAATTCCTGATTATACACTGGTGAATCCTTCCCATGAATTTTGCAAAGCATAGACCGCAATGGAGAGTAAATATCACAGAAGTCCTCTATCTCATTTATATTGAGCACCACTAGCTTGCTACCATCTGAAATGCTAGATAATCAAAAGTTCACCCTCTTCTTGTATATAGCTGTTGATTCACCGTGGTGAATTCCTAGTGGTTTGCTGGTGAATCCTTCCTTGTTGTGTTCTCAGAGCATAGCATGCAGTCAGAACAAAGGTCATAAACGCTCTCTTTTTTGCTATACTGAAAAAAATGCTACCTAGCCTTGCCACTATGAAAAATGCCATATCTATTTGGGAATTTTTTTCCTGTTTATTTTTTGTCTCTATCGTTTGTTTCTTTTATAACTATTTCTTTCTTGGAGGTAGATGGGGATGTTAGATTATACATATGGCATCTTTCTAGCAATGGCAAAAGAATGAGAGCAAATTATAGTGGATCATGGATGATGTTATGTTAGACTGAAGAGTGAATCAGGAATGAAGAAGGGGGATAATGATTGTGCAGAATGATGTAGCTATGTTCCGTGATATGTGATTCATATGCTGGTGGTCTCTGAAGTAAAATTATGCTGATGAGTATTGTTTTATTAGACTAAATAAGGTTGTCAAACTTATTAGCTTGGCTGACTGTTTTCACTTGAAAAAAATGTTCTTTTCAAATACAAATATTATCATGACTTTAGTATTTGCCTTTTGTTTTATGAGATGGTTGTATGATTTTATTATAAGGTTTGATGCCGTTGTTGAACATATCCTTTTAGTCACTGATGTTAAATTCCAGAGAGCATGATGTACATTCTGCTTGCACAAGACAATTTTGGGATATCTGGTTTTGATAATTTAATGAATGGCAATGAAAATATGAGTTTGAGTGTGTTAAACTGTTAATGATGTTGTGCTGCCAAGTGTTCGAGTTTTTGACTTATTTTTGCATATCATGCTGATTTTGAGGGATTGTTAAGGAGTACTCTGCAAGTATTTCTTTCACGTACAATTGATTCGATGAATCCATATAAGGCATCATCTGATTGTTTTGGACTTCCAAATTTCAGTCCTGGAGTTTGTTTGTAGTTTTCTGAGAGGGTTGGTTCTACCATTATATCTATGCACTTAGTTTTTCATTACAAAGGTTTATTTCTGTAAGAGATTTCTATCTTATGGAAATCGTAATGTTTTATACCTTGGGCCATTTCTTTTAAATGAACAAATAAAATGAGTTCAACTTGTTCTTTTGTACTGCAGGTTTTAGTTATTATCTTTGGCCTTTTCCTAGTCAATTGTCAAATGGCCACATCTATGGGAATGCCAAGGGATGATTTGATTAAGAATCGAACTGCTAATCAAAGAGGGAGAGGGAGAGGGAGAGGCCAAGGCCAAGGGCGTGGCCATGGACGTGGTGATACTTTCCGTGGAAGGGGAATGGGCATGCTTCATCGAGGCAGTCTCAGTGTTAACATGCGGCCATCTCCGTACAAAATTGCTAAGGCAAGCCTAAAAATGTTGCTGTTTATTTTGCATGTTCAAGAACTTGAATCATTAGAATGCCAGACATGAAGGGGAGAATATCTGAATTTTTCACATGGAGAGGCCCTTGCACCACTTTTGGATTATATTGCTTTTTGGTGTATGATTCATTAATGAAGTATTTAAAGGGGAGAATTTCAAAGGATCTGTTGCTAAATTTGGAACTTTGAATCTTCGACGGTCGAGCCTTCAATTTATATGCTAGTTCATGGAGTCTTTTTTTGTTGAAGTGCTCAAGGAGTTGTACTTCGGAACTGGAGCTCTCTCAACAGTAACTTATCATCAGCATATGACATTGGTGGATTTCTCTACTTCCATTTGTTCTCTGTACACATTATATGCTATTTTGCTGGAATCCTCATCTTCATTTTTCATGTGCATTCTTTATATGCTAAATGTTATAGCTCATATCACATAATAGTAAAAGGTATACTCTTTCTACGGGGGGTTCTCTTTTATAGATAAGTTACATGAACTCTTCTTCATGAGGATGAACCTTAATACAACGGTAAGGTTGCATCGTGACTAGAATTCGGGTCATAGAAATAACCTTGCTATTTGTTGTGGTAAAGTTGTTTGAATTGGCCCTCCTACAGACCTCACATTGGTAGGAGCTTCATACATAAGATCACTGCCCTTTATGAACCTTTCTTCATTCTTCCGTGGACTTGTTATTCACACTAGGTAGATCAGTTTTATGATTATGTGCTAACATATCTATTCCATTATCTGTATCTTTGGCTGCGACTTCATCAGTCTTTCAGCAGAACAAAGGGTATGATATGGAGGCATGATCTCTTTGATGATAGCATTGTAGCTGCAGGCATTTCAGGAATCGAAACTGGCACAAAACTTTACATCTCAAATTTAGATTATGGGGTGTCCAATGAAGATATAAGGGTCAGTTAATGTCCACAATTGACTGAGTTTAGCTCCATTTCTGTTTGCAATTATTTTAATTTTATTATTTCTTAATTATCATACAGGAGTTATTCTCTGAAGTTGGTGACCTCAAGCGTTATGCAGTTCATTATGACAGGAATGGTCACCCTAGTGTGAGTTTCGTGTCTTTTTCCTAATGAAACTGTAATCTTTTTTCCTTTTTGGTGATAGATCGATTGTTGCATCTAAACTATGCAAATATTTTGAGGAATGGTCGCCGTAGTGTGAGTTTCTTGTCTTTCCCTAATGCAACTGTAATCTTTTTTTTACTTTTTGGTGATAGATCGATTGTTGCATCTAAACTATGCAAAAATTTTGTGTATATGATTTTTGGCTATAGGAGATAGAAAGAGTGTAATTCTATATTTGGCGCGAATGAGTTATCTTGCCATATATCTTAGGTCGAAGAATGGGAGAATTGCCTTTTACTTTTTGAGACATTCCAATTACATAATTGGACACTCTGCACACTGGTACATATCCTTAATATACTAATGTTGAGACATTCTAATTACGTAATTGCCTTCATCTTGGACCATGCTGTGTTGGTCCACATAATAGGTCAAGAAATGTCTTATTGGAACAACTTATTCAGCAATGATTGCCAACATGGTTAAACAATGTTTTAACCGAGTTACTAGTGTTAGGCTACTCAATTCCCTAATCTTCTCTTTTATCGTGTTATTGGTATTTCAATTTTCAACATGATTAATTTTCTCATAAATGTTTAAAATATAGCAAATTGTAATATGCACTTATAATACTGAAATAACATTTTAGAAGTTTTTAAATAAAAAGTAGTTGAAAATAATATTGGCATTCATCTAGATGGGTGCACACAGTTCTGTATTTGACTTTGATGAGGGTGAAAGTTGTATGTATTTGTTTAAAATGGTTTTTAGCCACCTTTAACTTGCTAAGGCTTTTTTATTTGAAAAACAAAGTCCATCTATGTTACTTGAGCCTATAAGACTAAAACCGCATATTAGATCAAATGCACAACCACAAGCATGCAAACCTATCTTT